ATAAAATCGGCATTATTAGACGTTATTTGAATTAATAAAATATTATACTAGTTACAACCTTTCATTTTTTTTTTCGTTGATTATTTGCAACTCAAATAAACCTGTGCGAGAAATTAATTTCCAAGCGCCACCGATAAGTTATTGTGTGGCATAATATATTTATTCATTAAGCCGTGATCCTAATTTTTGAATAATAATAATCTAATATATTATACGCATATAAATTTCACGCGTGATAATCCTATAAGCATTATTTAAAAAGGATTAGCTCTAACAATAATACTTTTTTACAGTGGCATGGTGTGTATATTTATTATTTTATTCTCTCAGTTAACACACACGGGTATACTACATGTATTATTCACACGCGTGCGGGCTCACAAGCATAATAATATATCAACATAATGCTGACTCATAAAATTAGATCCATTATTAGTAGACCTACGGTCTAGACAAACGGCCATAATAATTTTAATCTGATGAATATTGCTGGCGTTCAGTGCAAAACGCATATATCAAATAGTATTGCAAAACATTTTAAAAATAAAATGATTAAATAAAATAAAATTAATAGTGTTAGATGATGATATTATCAAGATAATAATAAGTAAAATATCTCAGTGATTATGTAATATTGCATAACTACACTGATTTGAAACGGAGCTGAAATCATAAATGCTGCAAACAATATTATGACTCGTTTATAACTGCTGTGTAACTGCTGTGTAACAAACTTTCTATACTGAATGTGAGGATTGGGAGATCATTGGAGTTCGACATGGTGGATGGTTGGGTAGATAGGGGCTGATAAGGGAAAAACGTGTAATGGTTCCACGGTTGTACTCTCCTCGCCATACCTTCATCCTACGCTCCCACACCGGAGTATACAACTTATTCCTCCCGACACTCAATCCCTAAGCGCAGGGTCCTGAGTCCTGACTATTACTAAACTGGCTGATAGCAATAACAACACTTGAGGACCACGACCACGGTAATAATAATAATAATAATAATAATAATAACAGCAATGACGTGAAGCCTACTGTCGTGTAAATGGTGTGATAGTTAATGTGTTTTTAGCACTACGAAAACCCACTCCAAAATCAACCGCACACGTCTCTGACGCCATCGTCCAATTGAGTGGCAAGCCAAAACTAATACACCAGATAAACTTGAGTGGTGTCATTTTAATTGAACAAAAATTGGTTGTTAAATCGTCATGTTTTTTTTTTTTTTTTTAATTATTATTGTATGGAAAGGGTTTACAAAGCAAAACAACAATCATATTGTGTATTACGATTTGATGAAAAATTAATTATAGTGCATTTTAACATTGTTGATAGGGTGCAATTTTATAATTAAATCTCGAGTTGCACAGACACACATCAATATTTTTACCTTTATTTTTGAAAGAGACTGTAAGAATATTTCTAATTTGTAAGGTTTGAAAGATAAATTTAAAAATTCGTAACTAAGATATTATATTTGATAAAATGGACCACTAATAAATAGAAACTTAAATATTAAGTTATTAAAAGATCGATATATTCTGCTTAAAAGTCACACATATCGGAATCTATAGCTACGACTTGCAGAAGATTAAAATAAATCAACAAAATATTTGAAACATCATTGCAATGTGCAAATTTTATTTTATTATTTTATTACAAAATATTATATTATGTTTCTATGACCCATATATTGTTTGGAAATATCATAATATAATTACTAATATTAAATAAAACATAATGATTGATGATATGTATAGTTTTGATATCATACATTCACAGTAATAGTTACATCGTTGTGCTTCTTACGCAGCAATAAAATTTCAGGTTATTAAGTTCTACAAAAAAAAATTACATTTTGCCCAGTAAGTCATAGCTATAGTGGCCAACACAATAACGAGTATAAAAGTGCCACAAGTGTCAACTTTAATTCTTGGAACCAGATACTGTTCAAGGTTCAAATTTTAACGTCATCCTGCTATCTGGATATTTATAATTAATATTTAAATATTTTTTTGTCGTTATAATTTTACTCATTCAAAACATTTTAAATTAAACATTTTTAATTTTCGTTATTTATTAAAATTTAAATGCTAATAAACTATATTATTCTAGTTGAAACAATATTTTATAATTTACTTTCTATAATGTGTTTAGTAATATATATATATGTTACGGTAAATGATGTTATATCAGAAATTAACGTTATTCGCCGGTTATTAACGTTATTTACCTACAAATGTGGGAATTATCGTTATTTTCTAGTGAATAACGTTAATAGCCGTATGATTTGGGAAATTTTGATCTGATTATAAAATAAAAGAGGTTATTGCGGAAGATTTAAAAAAATAACCAAAGAACCAATCATCAAAGAAGACAAAATCGGAAATTAAATCATAGAAATCGCAGAAAAAAATTCGGAACTTGGTACTTAAATATTTTTTAATTATTTAACGATAAATTTCCGAATTTTAAATATAACAAAAATAAAACTAAAATATAAATATTTGAAAATTATTTTAAATATTTTTTTGATGATTGTCAAGAAAATATTTGTATTGCATGTAAAAATTCAAAAAAAAATTTAGAAAAACAAGGAGAGGAAATGATGAAATTTTCTAAAGAAAAGTTTCCTCAGCTTGAAATAGGCTTAACTGTATGTGTATTTATACCAAACGTTGATAGAGCTCTTGGTTCTATGCAAAATATACTATTAGTTGTCACTCAAGTTGAACATGATTTATAATTTATACAAACTCTGTAAGTTAATTCTTAATGAAAAAATATACTATTAAAATTAAAATTTGTTTTATTATTTTATAAATACGGAATATAGTTTTCTTAAATATTATTTCACATGCCAAAAATAGCTGTTTGCAAATAAAATCTATTAGACATGGACAATGTGATAAAATTAGCAGATGGTAGACAGTTGACACTGAGGGAAGTAGCTAGGTAGTAATAATTCGGTTGCGAGCCCTCGAAGGTACCAGTGTTGTCATTGCAAGACTAGTTGTAATAATAATAAGCATTGTGCTTACCTTGGGGCTGAAAAATTATGTTATATTAAATGTCATGGGAGTAAAACTTGTAAAAATAATTAAAAAATAATAATGCATTTATTCTATTTTTAAAAATATCTGGGTACTTACATAATTTTTCAAATTGTAGTATTTGAGATTCATGCGCTTATCTGATTTATAACAATTACCTGTGTATTTGGTCATTAACGTGATTATCCAGTTTATAACGATAATTACCTGTATATTTGGTAAATAACGTTAATAACCGGTGAATAACGTTAATTTCCACTTAACATCATTTACCGTAACATATATATATATGTATAGTTTTTATATTTTAAATATGTTAAAACCAATTAAAAATGTAAAAGCTATTAATTATATTTCATATATAATAATATCATAAACATTAGGTATCATTAAAAAAAAAAAAATTCTGAGAATTAAGAAATTATTTTATCTTTTTATAATTGATTCGAAAGAATTATTATTTTTAGTACATAAAGTTAAATAATTAATAAAATAATCATTAACATTTTGATTTAAATGTATTAACATTTTTGAAAAAATAAATGTGCTTTGTAATTATTTATATTAAACACGTAGTTCTTCTTTCTTTTTTTTTTTAATTAAAAACCAGTTTGAATATTAAACATTAAATTACACTATCAAACAAGAAATAATAATAATAATAATCTATGTATATAAAAATAAGGTCTTTATATACTTCAAAATTCCATTTATTAGAATTTTAATAAATGTAATAATATATAAATGGTTAATAAAATCAATTGTTATGTAAGCTTTTAATTTTAATAATTTTTAAAATAATTTTAAAATGTGGTAATTAAATATCCAAAATATATATTTTACTGAGAACAGTTTTAATAAATTTTGATTAATCTTAACCATATCGATCTTCATAATTAATTATAGTTACAGTCTGATATGTTACAAAATATACACTTTGAAGTACTATTTATTCACTATTGACGTATAAATTAACGTTTGTTCTTGTAGTTAATTGGTGAATTTTGATTTTATTTTAAATCATGAGTATATAGCGCATTTATTAAATTAATTAAATACAAATGTGTATTCCATTAACATTAAAACAGTTCATTATTTTAATTTGAAATCTTCTCTAAGAAAAATAAATAAAATTAAATTTCATTAAATTTCACCATTAACGATATTATACTTTATACATTGTCAAACTTTAATAACACATAATGCATATTAATTATTTAACACGCATATGAAAATGTTAAGTATTGTTTGAGTAGAAGGTATTATTAAAGTCAGGACTTTTAAATAATATGTAAATATAATTATATGGACATTTCAGTAGGTTACCAAGCTATTAAAATAATGCGCACCCTGTTAAATATGCATGACCCTACCATGGACTTCGAAAGTTTTACAATTTTTGTTAACTACATTTTTTTGTACTTTATCTTACCCTCGAGATGACCAATATTAATAAACCGTTCAACTAAAAATGTTTCTTGTTTAATTTACATATAATGTAAATACTATTATAGTGGTCGACTGAAAAATTATTGTACTAATGAAAATAATCATATATATTTCTTAGAAATTGGATTGAAAAATTAGAGGGGATCAGTACATTTTCCCGACATTCAATTGCCCGACACCTTAATTTCCCGACACCATTTTCCCGACAATACATTTAACCGACACTACATTTGCCCGACACTATATTTGCCCGACACTATGTTTGCCCGATACTACGTTTGCCCGACAATATTAAATTAAATTATGAATAAATTTGTGTCAAAAATTATTTAAAATTTCAATAAAATATTATATTTTATTATGTTATTTACAAATTAATCTTATATATAAAATTATACAACTAATTATAAAATATTTCTCTGACATATCAAGTTAAGTATTATAAATAAATATGTGTCAAAAATTAATTATAATAAAAACATTATACTACTTACAATTTAATGTTATGAGCGATTCCCCTTAGAAATGATAACTGTGATCGATTTCCCCTATCATTTATAATTGCACTAATACGTTTTTCTCTTTCAGCGTATTCTCTACGAGTTGGAGTATGTGCCCTTCCACGAATTATATCTTCGGCTCTTCGTTCCGTTTGAATTTGTTCTTTTTTAATTTCCTCTAAAATTGTGTAAACACCAACATGACATTTTCCAACGAGAGTTTCAAAACGTCTGTGCCAACCCTCTACGCGGTTTTGAGTTCTAGGAACTCCTAATTCCATTCGCTCAAATACGGACCAAAATTTTGGTGGAAATAAAGCAGCTGCACGACTTACATTACCTCCTCTCATTATCCTTCTAATTCTACCATGCACATAATTGTTCTCAAACCACTGCATTATCTCAGAAGCTTCTTCAGGAATAGTAGATTTCAATTCATCGAATGCACCTGGTATTTCGGTAGGTAGAAGAAAAGCAAGTGCAATAATCTGACGTAGTTTCAAACTAAATTCTTCGTCTTCTCCATATCTTTTACTTAGAGAATTTGTTTGAATTTGACGCCATACACTTTGCCCTAGATGAAAAAGACAACCTATGCAATTAGTGTCTGGATATTCACGTTTTGAAGCATTTATAGCCGCTTGCTCAAAATCAGTTAAAATAAATTGAGGATTTAAATCTAACTCATTTTCAGCTGCAAAATCATTTAAACTTTCAAAAAGGCGAGTATAACATTCTTCTGTTTTACTCGTCATTAAAGCATACACGAGAGGCAATATTTTTGCATTTTCTCCTGTTCCTACCATAGCATGAATTGTATATAATTGTCGAAAAAGTGTCGGAACAGTTTTAAAAGTACCGTCCATGATCCAATATGAACTTTTTTCAAATGTTCAACGTTAGATTTAGTTGTAAACAAAAGTATTCTTTCATTGTCAAAGGATGCATCTTTTGCTAGGAAAATTTGTCCATTAATAGTTCTAAGGGGTAATGGTACATCTATATCGTCAATGGAAGTTGGTTGCATAGGTATATCTTTTCTGCGTACTCTTTTTATAATTTGACGTAGAGCATGATTATTTGGCAACGATGGTTGACTTAGGCTAGAAACAGCATTGGTTTCAACTTGTATTATTTGTGCAGGCGTGTCATTAGTCTCACGAGCCTTTCGTTTCAAATTATGAACAGCCGTGATGATATCTTTTCTAGTAGCATCGGGGCTATGGTTATGCTCTTTTGTATTTCGTAAGTTATGCTGTCCACTAATTAGAATGGTACAAGCATAACCACCACAATTGAGAGTTTTTCTCTTTTCGCAGCACCAATAATACAAATCATCTCTATTTTTGTCTTTTGTCATAATATAACCATCAATAACAAGTTTTATACCACCTCTATTTGATGAAACGGTTTCACAAATTTGTGCCATCTTCCAATGTATATTAAAAAAAATAATTAAAATAAAACCTAACGGAAAAAAAATCAAAATTATAATATTTTTAAAAGAAAGAAGTAGAATTTGTACTAAATGTATACCTATAATACGGCTATAACTGTACTGTACTGAACTGTAAAACGTCGCGCGTCGCGTCAAAAACCTATTGTCGTTTTATCTGTCTATCGCCTATCGGTTTATTTATAAATGAAATTATTATCTTACTTTTATATTACATATATATTATATATAACGATATTATCCATGATAAAATATTCGTCTGATTTTGGTTTTTTTGAATTATTCTATATTAATAAATAATAAATAATAATAAAATATTGTATATTAGTATTACGTACAATAAAAATATGTAAAATATATTATCGGATTAATGTAGTGTCGGGCCAATGTAATATCGGGTAAAAGTATTGTCGGACAAATGTAGTGTCGGGCCAATGTAATGTCGGGTAAAAGTATTGTCGGGCAAATGGTATCGGGCAATTGAAGTGTCGGGCATTCGAGTGTCGGGCAATCATATCAGACCCAAATTAGAGGTATCATTTATGCTTAATCCTTGACGTTATTATAGCAAATACAAAATATTTTGAAGTAGAGTTCCAAAAGTGCTCACATAATTTTAATTATTTTATTAATGCGCTAGGCTTATCGGAAAAATGTAAACATATTTCGCCGAAAATAGAAATAGTTACTACTGAATTAATAATCCAAAATTTAACCAGAATTATAAATACAATATTTGATATTTTAATAAAACTAAAATTATACGAAAACAAAATATATATTGATATATTGACAACAATATGAATAAAATGTATTAATAAGTTATAAGTGGTATGGCGCATTACTTTTTATTTGTTATACAGTTACTGAGTCACTAAAATATAAGCTGTCACAAACAAAAGCTTCAACTTATATTTTAAATTGGTTTGATATTATTAAAAAAGACTATGTAACTTATTTATATGAAATAAATGTATGATTATTGATTTTTTAATGTTTGAACTGAAGCACTAGGGCAATTTAAACGAAACTAAATTAGCAACCGATGTAATAGCATTATGATGAGTAATAACATAACAAAACAATAATGTTTACTTAATATTATAATATTATATTAAAAATATGTTTTTACTTTTATCAAGAAAATCATGGCGTTTAGATACTACGTAACAATGTTTTGGGTGGTGAAAAAACCTAATTTTTGTTATCTAAAAGTAAACATAACTAATGAACAGTGTCTTAAGATATTAAAGTATTCCAATGTAAAAAATAGAATAAAAAAAAAAAAAAAGAGTAAAAATATTGTAATAATAATTTATCCCGTAATGGTTCAGACTATGAAATCTAAATTTTTTTCTTTGGGTTCGACTTTTAGTTAATCATGCATTATGTTAATGGCGCGTAAAGGGAAATACAAACAACGACTAAGGAAATCTTATCGTTCGATGAATATGAATTTTATTTTATTTTTTGTGCATTAGACATTTTCTTTGAGAGAAAATGACTTTTGAAAACTCTGATTTCCATTATTTTGTATTGTTATTTTATTCAAACCCGGAATGCAAAATAATATTAATAAATAATTGCAGGGTAACTGTGCATACAATGTATTTAGAGTAATTTTTTACATCCACTATAATATACTACCTATATTATCAATTTTAACAAAACGAAACATTATTAAATTTGAATATTTCTATATAAATATAAAAAAATATAAACCTCATAGAAAATGGATATTACTTTGTTCAGAGAGAAAATGTATTACACTAAAATGTCTCTTATAATATGCCTATGTCAATAATAACATAGTATACAAAAATAATAATATAAAAATGTTTTTTCTTTTAATAATATGAGAACTGCACGTTTATTTGTAGCAAATAGTGCTGAATTGAATAATTTTAGTACACCAAGGTAATACATTTTTGATGAATATCTAGCCTACAAAAAAAAAATTTTTATGTAAACCTTTTTTTTTTCATTCAATTTTATTAGGTATAATCCTATTTTTTTTATAGTCGATTTAAAGTAATAAAGTAGTTAAATACTTATTGTTTTATGTGAGCCATAATTTGTAAATTTATGTGATCTATATTATAATTGTATTAGCCACCATCTGATTTCAAAAAAATAGCAATTGCCACTTTTATAACCATAATCCTACCAGACTGAATGCGGTTAACCCAACAACATTTTTCTATACAGGTCTACGGTTAAATTCGGTCCCGAATAATATTATTAACACGATGCATAGCTAACATTAAAGGTATTTATTACGATAGTGCAAACATATCAACAGAAATAATTAGTGAAATCAAATTACTTTCAGCATATATTATTGTTTTAGTATTATAGGTACACTCTCCACAAAATCGTTAGAAATCCTGTTACATATAACATATTATGCACTAATCAGACTAATAATACATGTTAATATGATTGGTGATTTATTATTTTTACATATAGATATATTGTGTAAACAATTATTGAATTTAATAATCAAAAAAATTTATAAGACCAATCATGGATCTCAAAATCATGTTTAGAAAATATTAGTGTACTATTGATTCATTGAATGTGATAAATATTTAGTGATTAGTAATCACTGATTACTTATACAATCTGGAATAAATAACTGTTAGGTAATTATTAAATACAATTTTTTGATTTTATGTAACAGTAGGTGAATATAAAATATATAATGTTGTACCACGCTCAATAATGTATTTTAAAAGTAAATACATTTTTGATTTTATTATCCTGAAAATATAAATTCAATACAGCTAAATTTATATAACACAAAACAATTAAGATCATATTGATGTTTTTACTATATAAGTTCGTTATATAACAATATTGGATACTAATAATAGTTCGATACTTATTTCACTATTGCATGATATTATTATAATAACGTATAAATACGAATCACTATCAAAACTTACGATAACAATAGAAAAGGATTTATAATAAAGCCGTTCCATTTTCTGGTTCAAGGAAATTTAATGAATTCCTGAATCCAAAACTTACCGGAAATTGCGTAATAAACATTGCTATTTCAACAATGCGAACAAGAATGATATACACGCAGAACCCAAAACGTAGATTCAAATAACAGCTAGTATAATGTTTCTTTATTGATAAAAAAGATCGTAACCAGTGGCGTAATACTACTGAGTGATCAGAGGGTAGATGGCATCCGGACCCTAACGCTTAAGGGGCTTACAAGGCATCGAAACCGTATTCAAATTTTTGTGGTTAGTAAAATAAAAAACTACTATGAATAGTTAATGAAAAAAAAAAATGGTTTTACAAAACATTATTTAGATTTTTGGGGAGTTGAAAAATATTGTATTAGTTTTACAACTAGGTTTTATTTTATATTTATCTGTGAATACCATTTTTATCAGGAGTACTCTAAAGTTCAATTACCTTGTGCATTTACTGAAAATCGGATCTTGTGGTGCTTTTATCTATAACGGTCTTATATATTATATGTTATTGTGTTATCGCCTTAGCGTATTATTTTTAATAAAGGCCTTTGGTAGTACCTGTCTCAAAAATAACACACCAGCATGATTAAAACCATTTTTTTATCATTTAAATTATAATAATTACATTTTTTAAGTATTTGTACTATTATTGTGTCATGCACGCACTGTAGATAATATTAATATATTAATCATAATATTGGGTGGCCTTAATTGTAGGTCTAATAGAAAAATTAGAGGTATAATAAAAACATATTTTGGAATTTTAAACAGGGTTTGAATGATTCCATGTATTTAAAATTGAGCTTAAAAAAACTAAAAATATCAACTTGTATTTTCATAAAGCAGATATCACAAAAAAACCAAAACAAAGACAAATAAATATTTGGACAAAATAGAACAATAGTAAATAAACAATAATGCCACTTGTAACTAGAAACATAACACAGAGTATAAAAGAATATCAAAAAAAAAAACTTTTGATAATTTCTTGAGTTCGACAAGAAACAACAAAAACGTATTACTTAATGAAGGTGAAACAATCCATATAAAAGCATTACAGGTTTGAACAAAAATAAAATAGTAAATACCTATGTGGTTTTTCAACTCTTTGATTCTTGTAACTTGAGAACAAATTATGTCATAATAATAATTTAATGTATACTATTCTGAATGCATTATTAGTAAATTTAATACTGCTTAATGCTTTCATATAATTATATAAAATAATACTATGTCATGTTTACATGGAATAAGTACGTATAGGTAGTCAATAACCATTTTCAAGCAGTGACTATCAATCAAC